AGAGCTGACCAGAGAGAAAGAGAACAGGTACAAGGGCTCTATCAGGTTGTGACCCAAGGCCCAGAATGCAGCACAGTTCCTGGCAACTTTGCATGTTACCTGCCTCCTCCTCACCCTCTGGGCAGTTCATCAATCACAGCTGGACACCAGGAGAGCAGTCAGTCTGGCCCTCTCGTTAGGAAGAGCTAGAAGAGCTGGAGCAGGGAGCACCATGCTCTCGCATGGGAATTCTGGAACTTGCTGCTATGAAATCGCAAAACCAATTCTTTGCCTCTTTTTGGGGACTGGGGGCAAGGGCAAGATTTGAGAGCTGTTCTGGATAAAGGGGATGTTCTTCCACTTCAATTCACTGTCCAGCTCAGTTATTTCATTATTTGCATATGATTATATTTTGCTGCCCTGTGTGGTTATCCTTCCAGGTTATAAGTCTAATCAAATGAGTGCCTAACCCTTTTTATTATTATCTAACTCTGAAAAAACCCCACAAATAAATGCCTAAGTCTTCGGGGAATTTTTGTTAGTTTGATATTTCTGCAAGGAGCACTTCTGAAAGGGGCAGTGTACATCACTGCCCCGCACAGCATGGCTAGGACTGAGAGGGACTGCTGCCAAACGCAGGGAAGGTACATACTCAGACTGACATAATCGAGTAGGACCTCAGGCAAGGCACAGAAATCTAATGAGCAGAACTAGGCACAGAACAACATTAAAATTTAACTCTTGGTATCAAGCAATTTGAAGAGAACTACATCAAATATAGACTAGATAGTTTTAAAAAATGAGAACTTCTCTATCAATCACAAGAAAATTACTCCAATTGCAAATGACAAAAATATGAAAAATTTTTTTCTCACGGAAGACAGGATCAAAACATTTTTTTCCAGTAAGTTCTCAGCTCTGTCATTATTTTGGAATGGTAACCAAGAGCAAAAATCTGATTTGCCTACCATAGCGTATTAGATATCCAAATGGAACATGCTTACACTGCTACAGCTTTGCAAATGAGTCGAGCATGCTTTCTGTTAAAAGCTACTATTTTTCTGCAAATCTCTCTCCCTCTGTATATGCACCTATCTCTATAAGTAAATACCTGATCTATTCTGGCAAATAACAGTACAGAAGCTCAGAAAAAAACAGGTAACATAGAACACACCACTCTCAATACTTTTTTTTATCTTTTCATTATTCTTTGCAATGCTGATATGAAACACTTACCTCGAACAGCATCTAAGTAGTGAGCTTAAAAAAGAAAAGAAAAAAACTGAGATGGATTGAATTTCTATACCAAAATAAAAATACTTTGCTTATGGTTTGCCACCTGTTGGTTAGAGATAACCTGTCTCCCTCTTATTAGTTAGGTATATTCCTACTGCTATGATCAAAACACATTGCCTATGTGTTTGATCTCCATTCGATCAGAAGAATGCTCTATTTTCATCTTATCATTCAAGATCTATTTTCATCTTATTATTACTTTGGTCCTCCCTGCCTTCACTACACTTTTAAAAATTAGGCCCTTACTCCTCAACCAATCTAATTCTAGAATTAGCAAATACAATTCAGCAAATCCTAGAGTCAGTGAATGAATTATCTTAAAATGACCAAGAGAATGATAAAACATTCTACTTTTTCTCAAGAGGCAAGCATGAAAGATGATGCTGTTTACCTCCGAAAATCAGATACCCTACTCTTTCATGCAATTAAAATGTTTATGAATAATATTGCTCTGGGAAATTATTAATGACATTTTAGAGCAAAACACTAAAAGACTTCACAAAAAAAAGTGTCATCTTTCATAAAAAATGCAACAATTACATTTGTACAGTAGAGTAATGGATTTGGAAAAGAAAAGCTGAAAGCTTTAACTTATTAAAGTTATGTTAGAAGCTAGCTACAGAAAAAACACCTCTAAGTAATATATGCAAATCCTCAGACACAAAGGCAAAATAATTAATGCAAGAATTACTTAAGCTGAGTAACAGTTTCAGGCTCTCACAACTTCCATTACTTAAATATGATTATTTTTTTTCTTTTTTGTCCGTGACTCAAAGTTCATATATGAGCATAACCCAGACATTTGCCAGGACCTAGATACCTTTGTGTGTTTTTCTTTAATTAATGCGTCAGTGCTATTTCTTATAAATAGAAAGCGGCACTGAGTTGCCATTCTGCGGGACAAACAGGCTGCATCATCACTGGAGCGGCAGCTTTCCACACCTGGCCTGATTCTACGTCTCCAGTTTTTTAAAATGACTTGAATCTGACTGATGGCTATAGCAGACATTGGTATAACTGGTTCAGATTTTTTTTTATTTCATTCCTAAGGGTACAAAAACCTTACCAATGGTGCAGTGGTCCCCTTCCCATCCAGGGCTGCACTCACACTTCCCATCTTTGCACTGGCCATGCTCAGCACAGTGAGAGTGGCAGGTACGTTCTTCACAGGTTGGTCCTACCCAGCCTTCCTCGCACTGGCATATCCCTCTGGAGCAAACGCCGTGGCTACCACAGTCCAGGGTACAGAGCTCTACACAGGATTACAAAAATACACGAAGTGAAATGGCAATTTCATACTGTATATAGACTTTGCACTGCTAACAAACATAACCACTTCCAGATTAATGCCACTCATCAACTGGATCAAATACCAGGTTTTATCACCTAATTCAGACCTCATCCAATCTGACTGCTTCCTTCTTTAGCAGTTACTTGCAAGATCATCTATTTGTTTGGGCTGAGGACTGCAAACGATAGCTTGCCACACGGTAGGGCAATTGGTCCAAAACAGACCAGCGGTGATGCAAAGAAGTCCATTTCTTTTGACTGATTTCAGCTGAGGCCTTTAAGCAATTTATGCCATACCCAGTCCCAGGTTGCACTGGCTCACTTCTAAAATCTACTGTAAACGCAAGCATTGTGAGTAGGCTGAGACAAAGAACAAAGTGGCACGTTAAATACAAAACAGCAAAACAGTCTTTGAGATATTCAGTGGTTTGCAGTGACAGCAATGGCATTCACCTGTAGTAAGAAGAGTCAACAGGAAGGGAATGCTGAGAAAGAAGAATAGCAAGCAACGCATTGTCAGGGTAGTATACAACATTACCTGCCACATAGGGCACGCAGATCTCCCTAGTTCGAAAATGGCTTTCAAGGATTAACACTATTTCTTCCCCCCTCCTGACCCTCATGAACCAACTGCTAAAAACCCATAAAAACCGCATCAGAAAGACAGGAGTACTTCCATCATTTCACTCCGAACAATTTCTCTACCTGGGCATTGTAGAGCTCCACTTATCGTGAAGTGGAATGAAAGTCCTGAATTGTTTCAATTCATCACAATACGCCAATCGCAATTCTACTTCCACTTAGACTAAAGTTGCTCTGTGAAAAGAATGGCTTCATTATAAAAGAGTTCTATATAGTTTAAATTTATTTAGAATATTCAGTGTCAGGAGACAGAACTTGCTTATTATTCTGCAATTAACCTGCCATAGAAACGTTTCCTCCTCCTTCCTCTCAGAAAGCATCTGATAATACTGCGAGCGTAAGCCAAATAACCATGTCTGTTCTGATTTAAAATGCCAGTGTTACATATTTAGCAGTGGAAAGAGTTGTCCCTTGACAGATTTTAAACATTGATCATTTATATCCTGGAACTGTTGTATATAAACATTCTTGAAAGCATTTGTACTGACAAACACTGTCACTGTGCGCACCAAGCAAAGTTTATAAGGTGCAAATGGAAATCTTTTAACATAAAGAAAAAAGCAGCACAGAAATGTAACTACCCAGTGACATCATGGATGTGCCTAGGGTCTGTCTTGAGTCAAGTTCTAGCCATTATCTTCATTAATAAACTAGATGATGGCTCAGATTATAAATGTATAGAATTTGTGAGTGAAAAAGTGGAAGAGAGCGGTCAAACTCAAAATTACCCTCAGAGACGGAAGACTTGGTTAAAAACTTCAGTAAAAAAACCCTCAATAAAATTCAGTAAAAGCAGCTATGAAGTACTAAATGGAGGAACGTAAAATAAACTACTAATTTTATTACTCAGAAAGGGACTTGTGTTATACTGGAGCACAAGAGAAATATAATTATCTGATGATATTCCCCTAAAAGAGTAAATTATACCCTCTTTTGTATATAAGACAAGTAAGGAAATTTCTGGGGCATCATCCTTTAGAAAGACTTGACTGCTGCCTGCTGATCATGTATTAATCTAATGCTTCATGCCTTGGACTGCCTGCCTGCAGGTACCAGGAGGGATTTTTTTCCCCCTTGATGCATCATTCGGCTTGACTTTTTTGTTTTGCTACTTGTTTGTTCCTTGGAAATCTGGCAGACAGCTCAGAGCGCACAGGGAGGACTTGATCTGTCCTTTCACTGGTATCAAAACCACTCAAATACTTCTTCCTCCTCAGATGAGGAGGTAACTCATCCCCAGATCTGGGACCACAGAAGGATCCTCTCCTCACCCCAGGCCAGACTGGCAGAGGACCACTGCAATTATTTTTGCTTACCTTTATAGCATGGGGCATGGACTAACTTCCTGAGAATTAAATCGAACAAATTACTTGCTACTTCAAGGATTTAGGCTGTTTGAGGGATGCCTTTGATCTCTCCTGATCCCCCTCTAGTTCATTATAATTATAGCTTTTGGTATTTTACTCTAAGTGGGAAAGATTGTTAAGAGGATTTTAAGAAACATTCTGTGGCCTACACTATGTGGGGCTATCCGGAGTAGATGTTTTTGGACCATTCTGGATTAAGCGTCCTCTACATAGCTTTTTGCAGTTGTGGGACTGGTTCAGCTCAAATAACGCCAAAACTTCAGGGAATATTCAAGACATCAGTGTACAGAACTTAACTCAGAACTTAACTTCAGGCTGGAAAGCCTGAAGTGGGGAAAGAGACTGATAGATAGAGCTTTCCTACCTTTTCAGCAGCTCTAGCAGCTTCCTCCACTTCTCTAACTGCAAATAAATCTCAGAGAACCAGCTGTGGAAAACAATGAACACATACAGTACCCTGCCTCACCTCTGCCCACCTTCCTAGCAGAGTTTAATCTTGACACTTTTGTCTTCCAAAGAGAAACGAAATAAATACACATTATGGAGTGGAAGGGAACACGGACATGCTCTGGTGGGAAAAGGACTCTGTACGGATGTGGTGCATGTTATTCTTTTACAACCGAGGGAATGAAACGGACCTACATGTTTGAAATCATTTGTTCTCCATGTTTCATACAAGGAATAAAACGTTTAATCACTATTTAAAGCCATGAAGTCAATCAGATTAATGAAGTAGAGCTGAAAGACTTCCTATCTCTTTAACAATATCATAGGCCAGTCAGTACACAGTCTTTAACCACAAGGATCTTTTTGCATATTCTATGTTGTCACGTCAGATTAGACACAGCCAAACAAATTTTCCTTTATTTTTAGCCTACTGCAACACAGTGGCTTCATCTCTCCCAACTAGACTGACTTGGAAAGACAATACGGTGGCACAACTGCTGAATGCCAAACTGGTTCTCCGTGATAGGGAATGTGAAATAAAATGTCCTTTGCCCCGTTACTCAGCTTTTACGCCTAACCTCTGCTAGCGAGTCAGAGCACGCTAACCACGTACCAGTATCTGCATAACAAGTGTTACAAGAGGGGAGCCCATCCTGCTTTGAATCAGCATAATTTGATTTTGGTCAAGGCAGTAACGCAAATTTATACTAGGTGATAATCTGACCCATCTTTTTGTTGCTAGACAGGTGGATATAATTAGCTACACTGGAAGAATTCACCAAAACAGACTTTAACGTATCACTGACATTACAGGAGGGCGTCTCAAGAATGTGTTGTAGACAACCAGAAAAGAAACACTTAACGTCATCTGAACTTTACATACATAATGCGATATGGTGAGACATGCACGAGGAATTTCGGAACAAGAAATTATTTCAGCAAAACTTCACAGTCATCTGTATTTTACCTACATGAGAGAGAGCACTGCAATACTATATTCGCCTAGAAAGGTTATTACTTTTATTAATGTAACTCTTTAGAAAATGTTACCTAGCGAAGCTATTGCTGGACTTAACTATGACCTAGCACATTTAAGTGAAATAACAATTCAATGCATGTGGTATAAATTAAGGAATGAAAAAACTGTAAGGAAGGCATCTGAAGAGTCAAACTGTCCATTGCACTGAGGCACACAGTAAATAACCCTGTACCGTCCCTGATGGACCTTTGTCAAACCCATTCCTGGAAGCCTCCAATGAAGGAATGCCAGAACGAGCTCACCTAGTCCTTGCTTTTCCTTCCCGCTCAGCCCCTCAAATATCTAATCTAAATCTTTGATGCAAATCAGGAACAGTGTTTAGCCTGGATAAACATAAGCAAGTAGATGCAATGAAGCCTGGTTTCCTGGTTTGGACATGGCATTTCCCTCAGTTAACCCAGTTGCCCAGCTGCTCAGTTCACTTATATTTTGTGGCCACTGAGGCCAATCTGGAGATTTACGTTTGCTTCAATGATGTTAAATGAGACTTCAGAAATGCTGTCTACAGTGGTAATGTAGTCTGGTGCCAAACAAATCCAAGGGCAATTCTTAAGATTCTCCTCAGACTTCTGTTCCCGTGCCAAGCAAGTGAACTCAAGCCTAATATCATCCTACTTACGCTATGGTAGTACACGCACCTTTAATCCACTGCCAATCCAAACAACTAAGATTAAAAAAGAACAAAATTATCTTTTCAGGTTGTCCTGTTTTGAATGCAAAACAACTCCTTAGTTCTTCTTGTGGATAAACATGTACAGAGAAATCTGCATAGGAGGGAGTCCCATTAGCATTTGCATTTGCACTGTGGGACTGTGTCTCCACAGCAGATGAGAGAAAAGGAGATATTCTGAGCGGATGATGACCAAATGCGATGGGAAGTAATATAATAACTTGAAATAGATTAATGGCTTCAAATGAGGCTGATGTGGTTAAAGGTCAGACGGCAACGAAGTCAGACAGCAAGTCAGACGTCAAGCAACTCTTCTGTGAAATGGAGATCCTCCTCCTCCCACCGCCATGGGTGCTGATGGGCTCAGAGGCACTCCAACGCAGCGATGCGCCAAGGAGCCAGCAGTCAAGCAGCAGTTTTGGGGGTAGGTGGACGCAGGAGCTGAGCCAGGCAAAGAACTCCACTCCACTGGGAAGTGCTACCACGCTCCCCTCCTTGTCAGCCACCTCCTGGCTGTGCGGTCCCTGTCCGCAGCTTGTGCAACGGAGGCTACCTGGCTCACCTCATGAGCCGGGAAGACATTTATTCACTGTATTTTTCTGGTTTAGTACCTGAGAGTTTGCTGAGGGTGCAGGTGAGCTCCACAGAGACAGGGCAGGGGAAGAGATGGAGACTCAGCAGCAAGGGGCCTGGCCTGCTCAGGAGCCTCAAGCTGTTGCACCAGACAAGACTACAAAGCACACAAGCAAGGGGCAAGTGACTTATTTAAGATAAGAAAGGAGGCAGACATTTTGCAT